CACCCCCCCCCCTCATAGAGCCCTGCAATCTTTTGGTCAACTGCGCACTGCTGCCGGCACTATGGACGCACTCGCGCTCTGAAACTCCAGGTCGGAAGGGGAAAGGGGAGTGACACATCCTGTTGAACTAATACATGTACTTGATGTTTAATGAGTTGTCTTAACATAGGGGACGCCCCCCTTTTGTTTTCGCATTGAAACCACAAAAACAAGGGACCTCAAAAAGAGACACATCCTTAGTTCGATGGAGTCGTCTTTTCGGTGTTGATTCAAGAAGAACCAAAGGAACGGATCCCCTGCGGGGTGCCTCTTTGGGACGACCACTTGCGACCAAAGGACCTGACAACAAATACGTGCTTCCAAGCACCGAGAGCCGGACACCACAAAAGCGACAACGCTGCACCAGCCAGTTAGCTCCCAACGTGTCTCGTTTAATAAACAACTGACCAACCAGTAAAAAGTCAACTGCTTGGCATTGGAGATCATTTTGAGCCAGACATGTCATGGATCCTTTGGTTCAAGGCTGTAGGGCGACCCAGCAATTTCCACCGTTATCTTCCTGTCTTGGCTGCTTGATGTTGGGACGCTTTGTGTCCTTGCCGGAAAAACCCCCTGGGGGAAAGAAGATGGTTGCCCCAAGTCACCTGTGGCTTGTTCGCGGAATCCCTAAAGGTCATCTGGAATCAGGATCAATGACAAATATCGAACCCCGCTGAATGAAATACAGGGAAATGACCGGAAATATGACCCCGCAATAGTATGGGGAGCAGGTCCCTGGTCTTAGTGGTTAAACACTTGTGGAGGGGAACACCCCCATATATATATATATATAAATTGTTCCGGGGTATCCATTAGAATCCCTTCAGCCTGGGTAGAGTGAAACTCGCAATCAATCGCGACACGGCCTTTGCTGAACGCAAGCGCCACGCTCGAAAGTCTCTCAGGCGCCCTCTCGGCGTGCCCGAGAAGCGCGCCCCGCGTTTTCGACTTTGCAAAACGAGGCGGGGCTCGGCGGCGGAGAAAGGACTTGACTCACTCCGAACGAGTGGATTGGCCGAAAAGTGCTCATTTTGTTATTTGGCCCTAAAATGATCTTCCCAAAAAGTATAAAGTCCAAGAACTGAGGGAGTGACTTGAGCTTGCTCGACCAACACAAGGATGTTGTCCAGACAGAAAGATCCCAATTCCAAGTTTGGGCTGCTCACTGTCGGTTCGTCGCCAAGCCCCGGCGGCCACCCTTGTGGCCGCGGAAAGTTGAATGATTGGTCCGAAGGGCAAGGGTACATTAGCAGGAGATGGCTGAGGCAAAGTGCGGCCTGTATGTCAGTCCTCTAAACCTGCATCTCTAGGTGTACTTACATCTGTATATATATATATATATGTATACACTATTGCCGCATTTCAATAATAGGTTGCTTCAAGTTTAGAGAGCAGCAGGCATTGTCGGGCTAATGTTGACCTATGATTAATAAATGCCCCCCCCGAATGACCCTAAATAAAGATTAGGGGGGAATTTTCAGGGTCGGGATTTGTGTAAAGCAGTTTAGTATTGGGCTCTTATTTTTGGTATTTGAATACTACAATTGAATTGGGCCAATTCAAAAGTAGTATTGGGCATGTTTTTGTTTCCTTATTTTGTTTGGGGTGAATTCTAATTTAGTTTTGGGCCAATTCTAAAGTAGTATTGGGCCAACAACTTTTGCATTTTTTGATGGGGGAATCTGGTTAGCGTTATTCAGGGTCTGGTTATTATTTCGTGCATCAGGGTTCATGAGGGATACCCTTGCTGCCAGGGTAAATGTGTTGATTTTGATGGTTTTTAGAGGAATTTTAAAAGAAAGGGATCCCATAAATTTGTGGATTTGGGATAAATCTAGAATCAAGTGTGGGATGAGCCAAGTGGAATGGAAAGCTTGACCATGAATAAAGATAAGGGGATCATATCATCTATGTTTTTGATGGGGGAATTTGGTTAGCATTATTCAGGGTCTGGTTATTATTTAGTGCATCAGGGTTCATGAAATATACCCTTGCTGCCAGGGTCAATGTGTTGATTTTGATGTGTTTTTTCTTAGAGGAATTTTAAAAGAAAGGGATCCCGTAAATGTGTGGAATGGGATAAATCTAGAATCAAGTGTGGGATGAGCCAAGCTTGGCCATGAATAAAGATAATGCAAATCTCATGGGGGATGATGGTTTGGAGCACTGACCCTGAATACAACTCTGCATTTTGCATGGATTCCAATGGGAATTCTAGAGTTCTTTTGTGAGCTGGGGAACTGAGGATTCATTCATTTAGGTGGGGGGAAGGTTGATTTGTTTGAATTAGTTTATCTTATTTGGTCATATTTTCATGCTTTTTCACTTGGGAAAAAAAACGGTTAGCATTATTTAGGGTCATTTTATTAATCGTAGGTCAACATTACACTTCATCTCTTCCAACAAGGTGTTTCTATGTAACACGTATGCTAGCTCTTGCCCGCTCGGGTGCAAAAGGGACCCGAAGTCTATGTGAGCAAGTCGAAAGTACGAATGGTTTATCCCATGAACTGAACAAAGCAGGTGCCATATAGATCCGGCAAGTTGTTCTGACCGAAGCTGTGGAGGGTCAGGATAAGCTCAGCCTGGCCTAGATCGGCCTGTAAGTTCTTAAGAGATGAGGTTGGTACCTCCATGTGAAGTTCGTCGCAAACCCACACCTCCAGATTCCCATGGGCAAAAAACAAATCAGAGCACCTTGATGTCAAACAAAAACCGAAAATGAAAGGTAAATGCTCCTTGGAGGTCTGCCAGAACCTGTGCCTCCTGTGTGTTTGTTCAAGATCACCGTGTCTTAAGTTCCTTCAAGTTAAACAGACGCTCGCGGAGCCTTTTTAGGGATCACCTTATACCCTGTTTGAGGCAACATCAAAAACGAAGACCCGCCAGTGCGGTCGCCCTATGAGACACACCACGGACAAATGTGGTCCCCTTCGAACTGCCCGGGCTCAGGCTGGCTTCCGGTTCAAAAGCATCCCCCTAAAAGGGTAGTGGGTTTCACATTTTCTCACACAGCAACTTACCCCTTAAAACTCCAAGCCCTGGGGAAGTTAATCTTTTACAGACATATAGCCCATGTTACCCCCAAAAAGTTGAATAGTTGTGTTTTTAAGAGGTAAGCACAGCAACATGTGTGTGTGTGCGTGTGTTTGGTTTCTTTCTTGAGAGTGCCCTTTGGATCGGCTTCAACAAGAACTGCCCTGTTTGGAGTCCCCTAGTTGGCAACAACCCAAAAGTTGGCACAATCAGGTCGATCCAGAAAGGTCAAAGGGCGATCCCATGGGTCGTGGCTCTCATATAACCCTAACAACCCAAGACCTCAAAAAGGCTTCCATATTTTTTTACATCTGAGCAATGAGACAGCAAGCTGGTTGAACATGGTAGAACACACCTCTCTCATGTAAGCCCCAAAGACATGTCTGGCTCCCTCACTTGGGTACATGGTGGCAACAAGTGGGCTTTTGGTTGGCGATAGTGGGGTCTAAGCTTGTCCCAACTCAAAGAGTACTGGGACAATAGGCCCGGAACCTTCTAAACAGCTGAGCAACTGGGAGCTGCTTCCCTTTAAGCCACTAAAAAAGGGGTACCCTCAATGAAAAGACAGACTCATATAGTCAGCCCCCAAGAGATTCCGTCTCCTACAGCCTCAACCTCCAGCGGACGGATCGACGGATCCGGCGTGAGACGGCGAGCTCGAATCGCCTGGCGAGGAAGCGATTCGACGGCTGGGGACTTGCCATGAGAAATCCCGGGGGCGACCTGCGCTTGTCTTCTTTTTGAGGCCTGGCGACCTTTCTCACTTTCGAACGAGTCAATTGGCCTTGAAAAAGCCGCCAAACTGTTTGTTTGTCACTAAACATGGTGTGAAGTCAATGAACTGAAAAGAAGTGAGCTGTTGGGCGAAAAGGGATAGCAAACGACAACAGAATCTGTTTGAAGAGTTCCGTTTACTGTTTTGACACATGCCTTGTGTAAACATGTTTATCATCTTTCAACCAGAATGGCTTGAACAACAACCTGACGGTTTCCCTTCAAGGGTGGGGGGCAGAGTTTGGGTGGTTCAAGACAATTGTTCAAACCCTGGCCAGGGTGCAAAGCTATTTACATACAATTGCCCTACATGTGTAACCTATAAGAAAATTCAACCAATACAAAGCCCTGTCTAACAAATGATGTGCATGCCTTGGTGAACTCTTCAGTTGACGTCACGAGGTAAACGATGATAGACCCTCTTGGACATCCTGATCGCACTACCTAGCAATCCGGAACACGAGTCTGATTCGCATTGCCAATCCTCAACAAATAACAGCAAGCGAGCAATCCTTTGATGTTGAGTTCTACCAATATTTGTGCGAAGGATAATATTGAATTTACCATGATCCCGACTAACAGAACCCCTTCTAACTTGGCCGGCCAGGGTTTTGAGCACTGCTCAAGGGGGCGCCTTGTTTCCAGTCAGAGCTTGCTGCATTCATGCTGTGTGCTTTGGTATTCCAGCGCCCCTACCGGCAGTTGACCTCACGTCATGCGTCGACTTCATGGCTTCAGCTTCCCTCCAATTGGTGGTCTTTTGGTGGTTTGGAGGTTAGAGGGGTGGTTCCCCATTTAGCCTCCACGAGAACCGAGCGGATACTAGATGATTGTCATCGAAGATACCTCGCTCATCCATAGACACGCCGCTTCTTTTTGGCAGGTGCCATGGACCCTCGAATACTTGTTCAAAGGCCCAAACCCGAAGGAAGGGAGGTTGCAAAACTGTCCCTTAGTGTTCAACATACTTACCCAGCCTGTTTGCGGGCAAACACAAACTTACGCAGAACGTGTATTGCTGGGTCCCTCTCTCTTTTTTTCTGTGTTGAGGGTACCATTGTCACGTCGGTATGAGGGAAATCAAAAGTATACAACCTATTTGGGGGGGGTTCCGTATTTTGACACGTCCGCCATATTCCTTGGGCCCTGCCTCACCGTCGTTGGCAAAGCGATTTCTCGATCTGCTGCATCCACCCACGCTTCTGAGTTTCGTCGTCGCAGACCATGTAATAATTCCTGAGCACAGTTTAAACCAGCCTCAAACTGCGGGGGGTCTACGCCAGGGTTGGGACCTTTGAACATGTGATTTGATGTCTAAATTATGCTGTTTTTTTTTATTTAAGAAATTTGGTTGACGTTGAAAGGGGAGCAACAATTTAAATTTTAGCAGCCAAGTGGGGATTTCCACCTAAACCACAATAAGCAAAAATGGGAAAAATGCTTCCCAACAACCACCGAGATTAGCCCTTTGGTGTCCAAAGGCAGCCAGGTCCTGGTTCAGTCACAAACCTTGCAAGGCCAACGCAAGCGGAATGCACCAGTCCCACGGAGCATGGGAAAGGCGCAAAGGAAACGGAAAGGGTGTACCTGTTCTCGGTTGCGACCGCTGCTCCCCTGCTAAAGTTTCTAACTTTTAGCGGTTTAATCGAAAACCCATTAGTTGGCAAAAAACTAAAGTTATAACATCCAAGCAAAATGCACCAAAGTGTTGCTCTCCCTGAAACAAGTTAGCTGGCAACCCTTTAAGGAATTTGAACTATCTAGGGCCCCTTCATCTGCCAGCGGGGAAGGAGGTGAACACTCTGGGCGACGAATTGTTGAGATGTGACCAGATTCTGCGGAACGCATCGTCAAATTGGCCTTGTGGGATCCTTGTCCTTGAAACACAAGCCAGACAAAAAGACGCCACATGTTTGGAACTTGCGATGCATCCAGCTGCCCACTGACCATGGGGCTGACCAGCGTCCATGGGGACCCACCAAGCACAAAGGAACATCTGGCGGAATTCACTGAGCGACCGATCGTGGAGATTCAACACTTGGTTTGGGCCTGATTAATTAGAATTGGTTTGAGGGGTATTCAGGACCATGCAACCAACATGTCAGTATTTGTTTCCCCCCACCCGAGCAAAAACGGCACAACAACATGAAACGCAGCCCAAAA